AAAAAATCCCAATTTTCCCCTCAGGACACCAAAACAGAGCAGGAATCTTCCTTTATTCCCCAGAAATGCCCCGAATTCCCACTTTTTTTTGGGAATTTCGGTTCCCGGTTGGGAAAAGCAGGAAGGGGGGGGTCGGGATCCCAAAAATCAGTGGGAAATTTGGGATTTTGGGGTGAGGGGCCGCTCGCAGATGAAATAACACTCGAAGGTGCAGTGGACGTCGTTCCATTGGCCCCAAATCCACAAATGGGCGCAGTCCTCGTTGTTGCCGCTGTTGTTGGGCTCCCCCTCCTTCCAAAATCTGGGAAAAAATAAAGGGATTGGGATGGGGAGGGAATTCCTGGGGAAAATCCCGGATTTGGGGTGGTTTGGGGGAGGGAATTCCCAAAAATTCTGATGTTTGGGGTGATTTCAGGAGGGAATTCCTGTGGAAAATCCCGGATTTGGGGAGGTTTGGGAGGGAATTCCCAAAAATTTCAATGTTTGGGGTGGTTTGGGGGAGGGAATTCCCGTGAAAAATCACGGGTTTGGGGAGGTTTAGGAGGGAATTTCTGTGGAAAATCACGGATTTGGGGAGGTTTGGGGCAGATTTGGGGAAGGGAATTCCCAAAAATTCCGATGTTTGGGGTGATTTGGGGAGGGAATTTGGAAAAATTCTGATGTTTGGGGTGATTTTGGAAGGGAATTTTCAAAAATTCCAAATTTGGGGTGGATTTGGGGAGGTTTGGGGGAGGGAATTCCCAAAATTTTCAATGTCTGGGGTCAATTCCCAGGATTTAGGATCAAATCCATGGTTTTAGGGTCTCACATGAAGGATTTAGGATCAATCCCAGGTTTTAGGATAATCCTGGTTTTAGGGTCTCACGTGAAGGACGATTTGGGGTGAAATGAGGTGATCTAGGACCAATCCCAGGATTTTGTCCCGGTTTTAGGTCTCACGTGAAGGAGGATCTGTAGTCGCTCCCATCCACCCATTCGCAGTTTTAAGGTGAATCCCATGGATTTAGGATCAATCCCAGGATTTAGGCTCAGATTTAGGGTCTCATGTGAAGGATTTAGGATCAATCCCAGGATTTAGGCTCAGTTTTAGGTCTCACGTGAAGGAGGATCCGTAGTCGCTCCCATCCACCCATTCCCAGTTTTAGGGTGAATCCCATGGATTTAGGGTGAAATGAGGTGATTTAGG